CTGTGAGGTGAATGGCAACCTCCTGGAGAAGACCTGGCTGCAGATGAGCACTGTAAGTGGATGCCCCTTGCCTTTGAGCTGCGTCCTGGGCACAGGAGCAGCATGCCCTAGGAGAGGACAGCCCCAAGTGTGCTGCAGCAGATCCACACAGGGAAGGCCCCCAGAGAGCTTCAAGAGCATGCTCTGAAAGTCTTTGGTGAGCTGTTGGGTGCTCTTAGGTGTCTTCAGCAGGAAGGCAGCGGCAGCTGTCATGTTTCTCACGCAGGCAGGGCTGGAAGGGCACCGGAGGAAGCAGTGGCCACTGCAGCCGCTCTGCTCCCCAGCATCTCTGCTGGACGCAGGAGCGATCAAGTGGAACCTTTGCCTCTGCCCTTAAGGCAGCTGAGGGAGCCCCGCAGTCTTGATGTGCTTTCCCTCTCCTTGCCCTCCCTGATGGGCTTTTGCAGCGGGGCAAGWGGGTTGAGGGAGGGAAGAAGCTCCTGCGAGAGGCTTTGCTTCCCTTGCCAGACAGCARTTAGGGCTCTGRGGCTCTCCTGTTGTTCTCAGCTCTCACGGTGGCTTTTCTTTTCCTTAGGAGTTGTGGTTCACTGAGAAGRGCTCCCAAGAAGATCTGTGGCTGAGGACAGCGCCTCRTTTTCCACATGTGATTGAAGCAGAGCCAGAAGACATCAGCTGCAGGTATCTGCTGAAGCTGCCAGCACTCCAGCGCCAGGATGGTTTATGAAGAATAAAATTATTAAATGATGCTGTCGTCCCTGTGGTCTGCGGCTCCAGGCAGAACCCTGTAAAAGCTGTGAATGAGCATGTCAGCCCTGAGCACAGCTGCAGAGCTGCAGACATACTGTGGGCAGCTTAGAGCATAGCAAGGAGCTGACATGGTGGATGGCAGTCGGGAGGCAATGGCACAGGAGACGAGCATCCTTGAGGAAGCCAGTGGCATCGTTACGATTGCCACGTTGCAGTGGAGCAGTCCTGTCTCCAGCACTTTGGGTGTCAACACCCCGAGCCCAGGTTGTGCTGCTCTGCACAGCACARCCTCTTTCTTTCTTTCTGCAGCAGTGGCCACCTCCTGGAAAGAAAGAGCKGGTGTTATGTTCCCAAAGCTCCTCTTGCCATGCTTTGCCCCACTGCTGCAGCCTGTGCTCACGCTCACCCCTTCCTGCTAAGGAAGAAAAAGAGGCCTTGTGGAAGGAGGCTCTCCACTTCCAAAGAGAAGGTCTGTATTTTCAAGCCAGGGGTTCAGACAGGCTCTGCCTTGCAAGTAGCAAGGGTGTGGGGGCCTATTTGCAGTGACTCAAAGAGAGCAAGTCCAGCTCCTCCTTCCCATTCCGTGAGAGCTTTGCTTTTCTGCAGCCTCACAAACCTCTTCCTTTCCTCTTGTCCTCMTGGATGTCTTCAGCTGAGGCAGGACTTGGCCATTTGCCTTGGGGCAGCTGTTGGGTATTTGCCATGGTTTATGCACTCCTGGGCCTAAGATGGGGCTAAAGGGAACTTGTTGAAGCTCYGAGGCCTTTTGTGCATGTTGGTGGGCCATGCCTCCTASCACTCCTCAGGCCCTGGCATCTGCCTGTGGGGGCTGTAAGAGGGTAAGCTGCACAGGACAGAGAGAACACGGGCTTTTCTCTGCACCCAGGCACACCTGGCCAGTGACCTTGGCTTGCTCAGTGAACTGGAGYTGTGCCATCTCTGCCCAGTGTCGAGGCTGTAGGGAGCTTAGAAGTGTAAGGAGCTTAGCATAAGTAAGTGACGTAGCATAAGASAGGACTCGGCATAGGACAGGGCGCTCGGAAGATCTCGCGATGTTACGGAAAGAATAGGGACGCGTCTATAGCGCTGCYAAATAAGGGCATACTGCCAGGCTTCCCTTGTCATTGGGGCTTGGGCATAGCTCACAGCCTGCATCGKTTRCAGCCTGCAGCRCTTCTGCCASAGGGGAAACTATAAAGGATGTGTGAATCAAGCAGTAAACGTCACTTAGCATACCATCGCATTGGTGTGGGTGCTTTGTAACCTCCTCGGGGTGGATGGGCCTGGAGTCCTGAAACTGAAGCGGTGTCATTTAACATCAGTTAGCGAATTCCAACAACTGGTGACYCCCGACCTGATCGAGGGAATTCCCAACAACTGGTGAGAGACATGAGTCAAACAATGGAGGGGGTGGTTGGCCCCAATATGTTACGCTTGGTTGGAGGGAAAGCTGCAAGGTAGCGATGGAAACTTTGGTGAAGCTACTGAAAGAGTTGGGAAAGAATTTAAGACTTGATGTATCAAGTCGAAGCAGGCCCGGGAATGTGTGGAACGATTAATTAAGGAAGGCATTAAAGCCTCTSCAGCAGAGATTTTTAACGAGAAGAATTGGACAAAATGGAAACAGCACTCACCGACCGAGYGATGGTGGGAAAAACTCAAGAATTAGTAACTTTGGGAAAGATACTGACACTTCTGAAAGGGGCTAAGGAGGACACTGACGCGTGGAGGATAGTGAGATCATATTTGTGTGGGAGGATTGATTGGATATACGGAGAGGTTGAAAAGGAGAATGCCGCAGGCACCCAGACTGGCGGGGTGGAAAAGGAGGAGGGAGATGAGCAGGAAGGTATGACAGGAGAGGAGCCCACTGCACCGACCTGGCCAGCCGAGGAGCTGCAGGTCCTCCCAATAGAACAGAAAGGGGAAACGTCGCCAGCGTATCCATGAGGTGAACTGCAGGGGATGAAGGAACACWGGGGAGGAGAGGAAAAAGGGGCAGAACATAAAGAAAGAAAGGTGTCAGCAGAGGTAACGGGGAAGGAAGAGAAACAGACCTCCTGGGCTGGGTTGCAGGAATGGTCCTGTCGAAAAAAGGGGACAGGAGCTTTAGAAGTAAGCAGGAATACCGAGAGGCTGTTGATTGGATCCCTGGGGCGGCTTTGCGGCCAAAACATGGAGACCACCAAAAAGAAAGGTGAAAACAGTGGAGACAACCAGCTCACATCGTGGAGGAGGACTCCTCAGAGAGTGAGTCGGAGCCAGAAGTGCAAAGTCTATATATAGGGGAGGAGGAGCTAAAGTGGGAGCTAAAGGAAGAGTGACTGTGTGGATGGAAAGGAGGTGGGAAGATGAGTCCAGAGAAAGAGGTGAGTAGGCAGCAAGCACTACTGAGACAAATGAAGGAGCTGATGCAAGAACTATGAGTGATGGCCAGGCAACAAAAGAGACTACTGATATCAAAGACAGGGGAATATCCAAAGGAATTCCCCTAGGTAAACAGCATGAACTACTATGTCGAGCACTGTACGTGCTTAATCATCATATTAGGGGGAATAACACACAGACCCCTATACACCTTCATTTTTACAAAAAAGAGGATGAGGAAGCGGAGAAATATCCTAAGGTAAGGGTAAGATTCCCCGGGAACATAGAATGGGAAACAGGATGGCACCTTAGAACCCTGGGGAGAGGGTATGCAGCCATTGAGAAAGGGGAGGTCTTAGAGTGGATTCCTGCAAGGTGCGTCCGCCCTGAATTGACAAAACAAAGAGATACTAACTTAAGTTTTGGAGAATTTTCTCCTACAGATGTTCCTGATGGGAAAGAGACCACAGAGAAAAAGGAGGAGCCCTGAAACCAAAGCAGGATCGTTTAACATCACTTAGCGAATTCCATCGGAGGCTTTGGGGGTTCTGTGCACTTAGGAGAGCAAGTCTTGCCTCTTTCCATAGCAAGCCTCCCAGGGTCCAGCTTATTCTAGGTATTGTTGCTAGCACAGACCCTTGTTTGGGTGTAAGGACCACCAGCCCTTAAAGGCCGGAGTCGCAGCACTTGTCTTAGCAGAGCCCCCAGGTTTCAGTAAGCAGTGAGTAATCTGGAATTGAGGCTTGTCAATGGCTTTCCTTTTTTTGTGCCCACTGAAGTTAATTCATAATTATAATAAAATGGAGTTTATTCATTTTATCTAAGCGTGTTGGTAAAAGTCCAACGGAGATGAATTATTTACAAGATTTTGTTTTATATGTATACGTATATCATGTTAGGAAGGCCTTATGTTGCTCCTACTTGAGTACATGACTATCTCTAGGCTGAAAAGATTCAACATAGTTGGAGCTGTTACAAACACACTGCTTTTTCTAATAGTGTGGGCCCCTGAAGTTCACCTTCCACTGAAAAGTTTTTAAATTTAGCTTAAAAAAACTAAGAATTCTTAAGTATAGAACCATAAACCATAAATAAATAGAAGACTACAGTYGCTATATCTGGAAGATTTTGTAGAGAGCACAAAACTCGAATCATGACAAAATACGGCTGTTTCACTGTTATTTGGAGCATCCAATTCATAGACTCTTAATGCTATCAAAAAGACTGCCACAAGATGGCATCACAGTATTTTAGGTAATGATCCTACCATAGCAAAACAATGTTCTRGGTTTTTTTTTTAAATATAAGTGTAAAATAAAATTGCTGTGGATATAAGAAATGACCTTATTTTAAGGCAGTATTTGTAAGAAATAACCTTTAATCCTACAGAAGTGCTACTTACTTTGAATTGCTCCTTTAAATGCAGTAGCAGTTGGTTCTRTTCCTATGTCTCAGCAGCTTGTGTAGCCAGCCTTCCCGTTGACTCAAAAGGATACTGGCAATTGTGGTGGGCTTTTCTGCCATAATTGGTCATGATAATGGGGGGGGTTTAAAGATAAGCAGTTGAATTTATTGCCTTGATTAAAATAAAAAAGCTTTATGGTGTTTGTCTTGATTCTTCAACTCCCTTTACTCATGCATTACCCCCAGCAATATTTGCCGTCCTTTGCTATGGATGGACATGCTTGTATTGGATAAAATGTTTGCTTSAAAATAGGTGGCTCAAGGCAATATTCGCTACTGCCATCATAGAATATAATATGCTTTTGATAAGTTACTATGCATAAAATAGAAGGGTAAATAGAAGTGTACAAAGAGTTTGCCCCAAACGCTGTTGCTATATGGCAGTAGCCACCAGTCTTATGTTTTGTGTTCACTTTAGCGTTGAGTTGGGAATTGGGCTTTAACATCTCTCCAGAAGTCAATTTCTGAAGCCCTAGTTCATTTTCCTAGTCTCTGATTTCCTGCCTGTTTGCTACTATCTTCCTTCTAAATGAGATGGTAATTTGTGAAGTCTTTAGGGGGTTCTTTGCTCTGTGAAATGCTGCCTGCTTGTCCAGTTATGTAGTTATTTGTCACTGGCAAGTGATGGTGTGTCGCCTCCCTACCTTAAGATAGAGCTAAATACACCTAGAAAGTGTGGTTAGTGAGGTAGCATTGCTCTGGATAGCCATAAAATTATAAGCATTAGCATCGTGAATCTGTTTACTGAAAAAAAAAAAATCAGCCCTTTTATTTTGAGGAAGACATAAACAAAACAAAAACAAACCAACCCCATCAGACCAAYATTCAATTATTGAATGGCGTTGTATTGGATAAAGATGTCCTGTGTTGCCAGCACTTGTGTTGCTGGAGCTCCCAGGGTTTCAGTCAGTGGGCAGTCTGGAATTACCCAGGATAATCTGGAATTGAGACTTGTCAGTTGCTTTCCAGGGCTGCCAAAAAAGTAGGGGGGCAAGTCATTAGGAACTGGGCAAATTTCCAATAAAAGCTTGCCTGACAAGTCATGCTCTTGTATGGGCTCTCCAGAACCATTTTTTGATGTCTGCCTTTGTAGTCTTTGTTTTTCCAAATCTGTCTTTGACATGTTTTCTTGCTGTTTAGAGTGACTTTGGATCTAGGTCTCTAGGACAGAACATCTAGAAAGAGGTTGTAAAGCTCTTGTGCTRTAACACTGTGAATGGTGTTGAGTATATG